ACCATCATCACAAAATAAACATTAGGTCAATCATACTTACACTTATCGGGCCATGACCAAAGTCCAAATCTCATTCAAAGTCCAACATTGGCCCAATTTACCAAATTGGGCCCACTTCACCAAATGGGCCTAGATCCAATGTCCATAACATTAATTGGGCCCAAAATACTCTATTCATAATTTCCAGACTTGGCCCAAACACCAACAACCCACAAATGGCCCAAACTCAAAAGGCCCAAAATTGAAGTCCACAGGAGGAGTACGCTGGGCGTACCCTCCTTGGTACGTTGGGCGTACTGCAATGATCACCAAAAGAAAACGGGGCACTGGCCCACTACGCGGGGCGTACTCAGAGGTTATGTGGGGCGTAACTGCAGTGCTCATAAAGTCCTTTTAACCTCTTAATGGCTTAAGTTTTTAAGCCCAAACTTTAGATCCATAGGTCAAATATGATTAGAATTCATAAAGTCTTAGACTTTATCACTTGGGACGTCCTTAAGCTCTTAATCCAAGGTCTTAATCCATTAAGACCTATATATCTCATACATGGAACAACCACAACCCTTGGGACCTCATTTTTATCACTCAAGACCTCTCCAAAGTTCTGAAAGGACAGATAATCTTGACCAAATCGAAATATGCAACAAGGTGAGGACTTTTGGGACAAGAATGGTGACAAAGCTTCAAAATACATAGATCTATGCAATATGAAGGTCAAGCAAGAAACTTTATACCTCAAACAAGCTCCAAAGGGTGATATCTCTTTAGATCTAGAAGCCCCACACGTTCTTCTTCTTCTTTGAAAACTCCTCTTTTCTCCTTCAATCCTTTCTTTTGCCAAAAGGAGTTTCCTAAGGTCAAACACACCCAACAATGGAGGAATACGGGTCTTCTAGGGTTTTCTGAGGTTAAGGATGAGTGTAAGGAGGCTAAGGGGTGAACCAACATGTTCCTTATATAGTGGCTGACCCTAAATTAGGGTTTGGAGTTTCCGAGAGTACGCTGGGCGTACCTCTAGTACGCTGCGCATACTCACACGGCCAACCTGCATCATTCGCCCTATTACGTTGGGCGTACGTCCAGCTTATGCTGGGCGTACCCAGCCAAACTTCACAATTAATTGCATGCATGCTTGCCATGCATGCATGGGACCTTTTCCCCACTTACTCCACAATGAACTACAACGATGATCAACTTCAAAACACCGCAACTCCTCTAATCTAAACCCGCTCCCAAATAACTTTACATTCATACGAGGGTAACGAGAAGCCCAATGCTTCTAACAACATACACCAGCCCGAAACTTTCTCGGAGAGAACCTATTTCCCGAAAAAGGACCAGAATTACCCTTCCTCTAAAATCTTAGGGACTCATAATTAAACACTTAAAGAATGGGGTGTGAGAATTCTCCCCCACTTAAATTAGGCTTCGTCCTCGAAGCCTGCGACAACTCTACTCCGAAACTATCCCTGCAAGGCACCGCCTCGCATTCACCGAACCAGGCTAACCAAGACTCAACCATCGAAATCTGACACCCAACTTTATCTTTCTAACTGACAGGATGACACAGCTTCACCCCTAAAGCAACTCCCACGAGTTCTCCACCGCAATCTCATAACTGCACCAAACTGGCTCTAGTGTCCTCGGGTTAGGAAAACCCCGATACACTGCTGACAGTTCCAAACACCCTCCCGAATGCATTTTCACCACATAAACAAATCTATCTGGAGTTCCGAAATTCCATCCATGCATTCCTGCCGAGCCTCAGCAACCATCCACCCTGGATGTGCTCCCATACCACTGCCGTAATCTCGCTGCTCAATGACCATAAATAGGACCACTCCCATCATAACCCTGCGCTGCTACTTCCACTTCCATGAATTTACATTCCCTTAGCATGACCGCTATCCATGCAACACACATGTCCTGAACCTGCTCGCAAGGACTCTCGAGTCCATGCACCATCTCCACTAATCACAATCAATACATGGGGCCAAACCTTCTAATGCTAACACATCACAACATACCCAACTCATTTCCTCGAACCGATCCAATAATACCTGCAGAGTCTTCAGCATGACTGGACCATGTCACCAGGTCTTTAGTCAATCTGGACCACTCTCAAAACCTTCAGCTAATCTGGGCCACCCTCCAGGGCCTTCATTCTGGATGGACCGTCCCTCGAGCCTTCGGCCTGACTGGTACGCATACCTGCCTTCAATCTATCTGGACCGCTCAACTAACATTCATCACTCCGAGTTATCTCTCCGGGAAATCCTCTCATGCATACTGTTCTAGCCCTCTAGGGGTTCCGAACTCTATCTCCATCATACATACCCGATCCTAACCTGATCCCAGGCCCTTCACAATCAATGCCATAGGTCTGTATCTCGCCCCGCACGTCTGCTACTCACCCATACCAACCTGCTCTCGGCTGAAAGAAATACCACCGAATCCCAAGCAGCTAAACAGTCTCCCAAGCCTATCGATCATCCAGAGAATTTCCAATTCTCCCCCACTTAGGGCACTAACTATCAACCACCGGTCGCTATCACCGACCTCCCAAAATAACCTTGCACAAAACCCAACACTTACACACGGACTGATTCCCGCTAGCACTAGCAACCTTCGCAAAAAACACATTTCCATACTGATCATCCCGCTCGAAAGGAACCCGTTTTTCACTTATCCACTCCTCAGACTGCAGATGCCACCCGACATTCAAACCGACACCGTATCCGCCAATAACCCTCACAAATGATAACCAACGAAAACCCGAAACACTAACCCATAACCAAACCAACCCTCAAGGAACAACGGATACCAAAACGAAAAACCCACACAACAAGACCAACAGATAATAACACTTCCACAATAATCACAAGATAACAAGATATCAAGAAAGGAACATACCCGCAGTTGCATCCGACACTGCTCTGACCTCCTCTGCTGAAACCTGAAAAGCACGACCCTGAGCCCTTGGGGGCTCCGCTCCACCCTGACCTCCACCTGTGATCCTCAAAGTGGCCGGTGTTGGAGCTTGCACCGGTCCTGCAACAAGCTATGGGTAATTGACCCTCAAGTGCCTAACCTGATGACGATGATAACAAATTCTCAAATCCTGAACTGACACTAACTGCCGACAATCCCTCGCATAGTGCCCCTCCTTTCCGCACTTGTGGCATGCACCATCGGACCGATAAACTCCGATGTGACCCCTCCCACACTTTCCACAAACGTGGCTGCCCTGATCTCCCATCCTGGAATCAACGATCTTAGACCGTTTTGTCGCCGGCTGCAACTGCATCGAAGCTTGCCTCAGCTCACGCAACTGCAGCTCAATCTCTAACTCACGCCGCCTGGCGGCCTCCTGCAACTCCAACAAGGTCTCGCACCTCTGCGCGGACACAAACTGTCTGATGTCTCTCTTTAGCATGCTCAGATATCGGGAAATCTGAGCCTGCTCCGAAGCGAACTCAGGGCAAAACATCGCCCTCTTAGTAAACATCCTGGTGATTTCCGTCACCGACTCCGAATCCTGCTTCAGCTCAAGGAACTCCTGAGCTAAACTCTCCCTCTCGACCTGCGGAACATCCGAATATGACCCCCGTGGTCAATCTCCACCAATCCTTTG